AGACTCACATCAACTGGTGGCCACACAGGCATGAACAGTACATGTGATACAGGTGAAATCTGCTGTTCGGACGGCTAAACCAGGATAAAAACGAGAGAATGAGAGAGTCCAGCTCAGGTTTAACCTCTTCTCAGGTGTAGGGATGGGGATCGAAACCCGGTTCTATCAAGGACCCGGTTCCACTTTTTTCAAAACCCGAAAATCAATAACGTTTGGGCTTATTATCGATACCACTATCGAGTTTGGTCATTTTTTTTATTATTACAATAGTAATTGTGAAATCCGTGTTGTAATCGGCAGCATGCAAGCTAGTTAGCTTGAAAAGTAAATAAAGTTTCAGACGTGTTCAGATTGGCTCAGGAAAACGACAATTAGGTTATCATGATGCGTTCAAGTGTAACGTTAAGAAAAGGGAAATTGAGTTTTTGGCGAGAAACATGAGTAATACAGTTGTATATTGCTCTAATTATTTTAGAATATATAATTAAACTACTGATGCCAACATTTATTAAAAATGACATTTAATTTAAAATACAATTATTTATTTGCTAAATATTGTCGCATCGTCTTTCCACCAAAAAACAGAAAAGTATCGATAGTGGTATCGATAAAGACTCGGATCGATAAGGAGTATCGATAAAGGTATCGATATCAATAAATATTAACGATCCCCATCCCTCTTCTCAGGTGGGACCACAAGCCCGAGATCAAAGCGCTTTTGTGGGGTCAACATCTGCATAGCCACATAATCCCTAATCAAACACAAACCAGCCAAAAGAGGAGGGGGGGGGGTATAACAGAGCCCACACAGGACATAGACATAGACATAGACATAGATATGGACAACTTTTCTGTCATTTTGTCTGTACGGAGTGCACACAAAAAACGAAATTTCATTGCATACAGCTTTAGACAACAACAGGGTTCAATAATTTAGCAGTCTAATGGCAACAGACTTTATGGGTGGAAAACAGATCTGTGAATCACTTTGGGGAAGTCATTTGTAGTTTGTAGTACAATCCTATTGTACACAATCAGATACACCTGATAACAGGGGGCAGAAGACTACACAAAAAATAATCTGGACTTATCGCATAGTAATAAATTATCAATATTAAACATTTATTTTTGTTTTTTCTTTTTACATATTTTGGTAAAAGGCCAAATAAATACCCAAAAAGTCATTTTCTGTTCTGTTTTACTCTTGGCTCAGGCTTTAAAGGGTTAAATGATGGGGTCCATACATGGATTTCATACAACAGGACTCACTTTT